AGGAAACCCCTGTGAAAAATAAAAGTGCCAATTACAGACACCATCTGTGATTTCCTTCCTGTGGACACAATTTGGGCGCAGCAATTTACCCAAAACATTCTTAAGCCAGGAATTACCTGACCAAGCCAAGCCTTTCACATTTTCAGGGCAGTGGTGTTTGTCTGCAGGTTACAATCAAGAATTAACTGCAATTTGCTGGTAAAAAAGGATTTCCCAGTCACCATATCCATTTATCTGACCCCATTCCCACTGAGAGCAGGAGAGCTGCTATTGCCAAAGAGAAACGAATTATAAAACTCACCTATTAATTTTATCCACAAGGACTTGTGGCACTTGAAAAGAAACTTTTTGGCTCCCCAGTTGTGTCTTGCAGCTCATGGGTGTGAAACACAGGGGTGCTGTGCCCCGCGTGAAAACGTGGTTCAAAGCACCCTCTACACAGAAGGATTTATCCTGACTCCTGAAAATACACAAAAACAGGGTGAAGTCACTGATAATTTCAAATATTTAATGTGCCTCTGACCAGATGATGGCCAGAGTTCCCTGCCAGCACCAACCCCCAGCCCTCCCATCTTTAGGCTGAGATTGATATTCCTTCTGAAACGGATGCTTTTGACCTTTAAAATCCTCAGATAGTCTTATTTTTAGAGGGTGCTTTGGCAGGAAGCTCGCATTTTAATCTTGGTTATTCTGCTTAGAGATGAACAAGAACTGCAGCTATTTTAAGGAAAATTTTAAGGAAAATTTCAAGGAAAATTTCAAGCAAATTTAAAAGGAGTTCCTCTCCAGCCAACAAGACACTAAAAGAATATTCTAGCGCTGGGGCATTTTAAGAGCACAAACGTGGGAATTTCAGTTTTAACTGGTTACCTGTAGCCTGTGCATTTGTATCCATGGATGGTCTCTGCTTTGAAAGGATGAACGTCGCTGAGGATAAACCCAGCTGCTGCCGCCACAGCCACGATTTGCCAGCTGTTGTGCCATTCCCTCCTGGGCTGATCCGCAGGAGTCCCTCCCTGGCCATTGCAAAGGGCCACATGGACTTCTCCCTCCTGTGCCAGCACTTCTGAGCAGCTGGAAGGGGAACCAGGCAAGAGGAAAATTCCTGTTAGCACACCCCCAGATCTCCCAGTGCCGGGAAAAACACCTGGAACGCAGCTGGAAAGCTGTGCCACGGCCGATAATTCACACAGAATTATTCCTGGTTCGCTCACCTATGGAAAAAGCGTGCAAGGAGCTGCCTGTTCTTCACCACCCCAGCTTTTCTCCCGCAGTGAGGGAAGTTGAAATAAATACGATCAAATTCCCGTTTTCCCGGTAAAAAGTGCTCCTTCAGCTTGGTGCAGTCCACGGAAAACACAACCTCGGCTCCTGCAACAGCAAAAGCTAAAGCAAAACAACGCTCCGATGGTTATCAGGGAGGAAATTTTTAAAGAAAGGTGGGAACGCAAATCCCCCCAGGGAATTTTTAAGTAGGTGAGAGCTGCCTCGAGCATTGGGCACACACCAGGAAGTCCTGGTGTGCTCTTTGCTCTCTTTCCAGGCAGCAGAAACTTCTGAAAACAGCCGAGCATGGGAGTGGCGAGGGGCTCCCAGGGGACACGGCAGCGGGAGGGGGACCCGCGGGGCAGTGATGCCACTCTGGACGACAACGGGGCGACAGCGATGCCAGGAGGGCGACAGCAAAGGGCTCACAGCAGCTCTGTGCCCACCCTGGGCTGTCCCCGTGGTCCCCGGGCTGTCCCCGGGCTGTCCCCCGGCTGTCCCCGGGCTGTCCCCCGGCTGTCCCCGCGGTCCCCGGCGCTCACCCACCGCTGTCCCGCAGCCGGCGGATGCTCCGCGCCGCTCCCCCTCTCCCGGCCGCCTCCTCCTCGCTCTCGTAGCAAGTGGCCACCACGTGCGTGCCCTGGGCCCCGCACAGCGCCGCGGAGAAGGAGAAGTTGCCCTCTCCGAGCAGCAGGACGCGGCGGAGCCGCAGGTCCCCGGGCGGGGACATGTCCCCAAGCGCTCAGGGCCACCGGCGCTGGCTCATGACGTGCGGCCCGGCCAGCGGCCACTGCTGGTGGCGTCGGGTCCCCGCGGCCACCCCCGGGGACTGCTCGGCAGCCGCTGTCCCGGGGAGGTGGCGCTGTCCCCGGGAAGGATGCGCTGGGAGCGCGGATCCGGGGAGCTCTCCCGGCCGCCGAGCAGCAGGAAATGGGTAGGAAATGGGTGTTGCGTTCCAAAAGAGAGAGAGAGAAAAAAAAAAAAAAAAAGAAGAAGAAAAAAAAAAAGAGGCTGTTAAAAAAGCCGAGGAATCTTTGACTCGCAGAACCGCAGAATGGTTCGGGTTAGAAAGGACCTGAAAGCTGATCTTGTGCAGGGACACCTTTCACTGCCCCAGGTCAGGTTGCTCCAAGCCCCATCCCTGAGCACTTCCAGCCACTTCCCAGCTTCTCTGGGCAGCCTGTGCCCGAGCCTCACCACCCTCACAGGGTAAAATTTCTAATTAATGTCCAATCTAACCCTGCTGTCTGTCGGATTTGAGGCATTCCCCCTTGGCCTGTCACTCCAGGCTTTTTGTGAATAGTCCCTCTCCATCTTTCCTGGGGGCTCCCATCAGGTACTGCAAGTCCACAATTAGGGCACCCTGAAATCTCTTTTCCAGGCTCAACAATCCCAATTCTCTCAGCCTTTCTGCATAGCAGAGGAGTTCCAGCCCTATAATCAATTTGGTGGCCTCCTCTGAGCTCACCTTTACCTGTACCTGCAATTATTATTCTTTGACAATATGTGTGCTGCTTGAATTCCCAAAGGGGAGAAGCAGAGACAGGCAGAAAGAGAAGAAAAAGAGAAAAGAAGCAGTGGAAAGGTGGTGGAAGCATCATTTGATGTCAGGTAATTGCAGACAAGGTCCCTAATTCCTCAGCAGGGTGATACAAGGTAAATTAATTACCCTGCCTCACATATGTGTACGGTGCCTTTGAGAAGGAAGGAAATTATGGTCTGTAACACCTACAACAGCCAGGCTTGGGTGTCAGCTGCTCCATTTGTGAGCCCACAGCTGCCCCACAGGGCAGGGACAGTGTGTCAGGACAGCTTTCACACAGGTAATGACACAGGGAGGTTTGAAGTGGGCAAAGCTGAGCTCCTACACAGACCCACAGCCACAATTTGTGAGCTCTGTGCCACCACTGTGTCCCTGTGGCCTTGAGAGAATAATTTTGTCAATTTTAAATGATGGGTAAGTGGCCTGGAGAGGTGTTGGGTACTGAGAAAATATTTACCACACAACCTCCCCGTTCCGATAATTACAGAAACCACTTCAAACTTGTATTTAGCCAGGGAAAATGTGAGTTTTCCTTTTCAGCCCTTTGGAAACAACCTGCTTCAGATTACAGGGAAACATCAGAGAGTGAATTTTGCATGTGCAGAACTGGGACAGTCTGTTGGATGTGAGGAGTTTCTCGATGATGTTTGTGCCTGGAGATGACAGAGATATTTTCTGTCATTCTCTCCTGCTGGGCTGTGCTCCTGTGCCACCCCAGAACAGGTATTTCAGGTCACTCAGGGAGTGGTTTTGTATTTCAAGTATTCTTGTCTGGCTGACCTCATGCAGTTTATCCCCAGAGAGCTTTCACTCGAAATTCCCATTTCTGGCTGCTGATCTGAGCCTGACAAACCCCCTGTGCTGTAAAAAAGATTTCCCTCAGTTGCACTTTCAGGCTAAATTCTTACTACTTTGCATTTACTTCCTTTCAATGCTGATTCTTTTAGGATTTGAACAAAAACCTCATGGATTTCCAGGCCACCAGTCTGAGCTGGAACCTCCTTTGTGCAGCCCAGCTGCTCAGTCCTGCTGCACCCCAGGCCTCCAGGCAGAGGAGGAACACGAAGGATGAAGGGAAAGCACCAGAAACGCTCAGGAAACAGCGGTGCAGTGATTTCCTTCCAGCACCAAGACCCATCACACATGAAAGCCATGTGGAAAATGATCTTCCTGCTTTTTAATCCGTGCTGTTTGTAACCTCTGTGTGTGTCTGGGGTTTGTTCTTGTGTGCAGAGGTGGCTGTGCCTGGCCAGACAAGCCAAATTAACACCTTAGCTGGCAGAGCTAATTAGAACCAGCTAACAGGGAACAGCAGAGCTTGGAAATGAGGGGGGATTTGGGGAGTTTGACAGTGACCCTGCATCACAGAGTGCTCATTTGATTTTTCTCACCTACAGCCACAGAAGGATGTCCTCCCTGCTCAGCTGAGGTGTACTGTGATCCCTGCTAATAAAACTTTTGTCTTAGTAGGTATAAGGAACACAGAAAATAGGTCAGGTCATGACTGAGTCTTGTGATCTGTCCTACAGATCTGTTCTTTTTGAAGATGAATTTTAGAAATTCAGTTCCAGTCATCCAGACTTCCCTTTCTACCCCTTTGAAGAGAGGTGCTAAGGAGATGAAGATGCCTGAAAAGGACTTTAGTAGTGGTTTTCTATCACTCAGCAATGCTGGCATAAATCAGATTATTTCTGTAGACATCAGATCCTGCACTGTTTGAAGGGCACTGTCAACAGAGTTTAAAGGGATGTGATTTGAATCATCAGAGCAAGATGTTTTCCTTCTCTTTGGGTACATCTGTGTTTACTGGAGCCCTGCAGTTTTCACCTGAAGCTGCTCTGAACTGGCTGCAGCCCCTGGATGTTTCTCCATCACATGAATCATTTGAGATTTAAGATACAGTTGTCTTCCAGCCAGCTGTTATCAAATACCCACACTTCACATGGGTTTCAATTGTCATGGAGCTGTTTTATCAGTTTAATCTCCACGGGAGAAACTTTCCTGTTGCTTGTGAAACACTCAGAAATCCTCTGGCAGCGTTGAAGGGGGAGAGAACACAAAGGTGTGATGAGCAAAGTGCTTCTGAGCACCCAGATAAGCTGTCCTGGACACTCCTGCCACCCAAAAATTATGTTCCCCCGCACCTTTCATCCACCTTTCTGAACCCAACCCAAAACAAATCAATCCAAACTGCTTCTCCATGGTTTTATTCGTTAGTAAACTTACTCAGCATAAATAATACGAGCAGCCATTCAGTACAGCCGGCACCCGGTGGCTTTGGAACGGCCCTCCAGGGGTGGCTTTGGGGGACAGCAGAGCAGCCCCTATTTCCTCTGGGCGCCTGCGATGGCCGGTTTGTCCTCGCGGGTGATGGGGATGGTGCGCTCGGGGACATCGCTCTGCTTGCGGGGAGCGCTGACGGTCAGCACCCCGTCCAGCGACAGAGACGACGTGATGGTCAGCGGGTCCACGTCGTCAGGGATCCGGTATTTCCTGCTGAACTCCCTGGCGATGAAGCCGTGCTCGTCCTGCGCAAAAAGGGCGCCACAGAACCATGGCCACGCTTTAATGAGGAGCGTTCGCCCGGTTGCGCCTCAACCGTGGGGTCTGTGCCTAAAGCTGGGGCTTTCCAAGGGAAGATTTTGGGGGAGAAAGGGGTTCTGGAGATGAGCTGCTCTCTTTAAAGAGCCAGAGTTAAAATCTGGGCTGCAGGTGCCTTCCACAGAAGCTCTGTGCCACCCCCTGTGCCAGCCAGAGGATTCCCTGTGTCCTGTGCTGGCATTCCCGAGGTGCCATTCCCAACCATCCCGGAGACCCTGAGCGCCTGATCTCACGGCTTGGTTCTCTTCTTAGCCAAAAAGGATTCCAGGAATGGTGTTGGGATTCCAGGCCCCCAGCAGCTACAGGGAGCACTGGGTTTCCTGACTGACACACCGAGCTCCCAGGAGCTCCGAGGGGTAGCACTTCCAGAGACACAGGGAAATGCTGTCACATCTCCGGGCATGGCTTTGCATTTCTGCCTGCCCCTGCCTGCCCAGTGTCCACACAGGTCTCCAGAGGCAGCAGGGAGAGGGATGAATGACATCAGAACACAACTTTTAAGGATTAGAAAGTGATAGCTGGGCCTAGGAAAGGTAACACACAGGGCAATGCACCGATTCGTTATGTGGTTTGGTTATTACAGTTCATTTTTAGCTCATTGGACGCCTCCCTGCGCTCCTGACCTCTTCCCAGAATTCACAGTTCATGCACCATCAGCAATAAACCTCCACCCTCTTGCTGCCCTGTGTGGGATCAGCTGGGGGGGATTGTACGGAGCATCTTGATAAAAAGAAATTACAGATATTTGAGATGAGCACAGGGTTGTTTTGCAGTCACCAGAGGTGAGGGAGCTCACAGTGGTAAAGCAGGGGGTACCTGGCGCTCCTCGTGCTTCCCATGGATCTCGATCATGTCCCCGAGCACCTTCACCTTCAGCTCCTCAGGGGAGAAATGCTTCACATCCAGGTTCACATAAAATTTGTCCTTGTCCAGTCGCATCTGCAAAAACCAGGAGGTGATTTCAGAAAAGAGCAAAAGCAAGGAGGTGACTTCAGACAAGAGCAGGTGAGGGTTTGAGCTTAAAAAAGAATGCAGCAGGTCAAGACTCGAGCTGGTCTCTACACACACGCTAACCTTTATTTTGGGATCTGATCTGAGTGGCTCTGTCCCCTGCTGGCCTTGCATTAATGCTCATCAGGACAGGACCTGAGATTCTCTACCTGAATTGCTTAAAACTGACTCTTTGTTTAAAGCTGACTCTTTCACATAGCTGCTTCATAGCTGCTGGTTCTGGGCAGCCAGAACCAGGACACTAAATCAAGAGGAACATTATGCAAGGATTAAAAGAATACTTTCACTCCTTCTGCTTGGAATAGCTCCTCAAGCTCCTTGTAAATAAGACAGTTGACTTGCAAAAGCCTCTTGGCTCAGCCCCTGGAGGGAGGAGGCGCCTGCTCCATGATCTGGGTCCTGGATCTAATTAAAACTCTGCTTTTCTGGGCAGTGATTGTTTCAAATAGGCCCCTTTTCCCTCAGCAGCCGCGGGCCCCTGCACTGCCTGACATGAGGATCCCACTGCCCCCGTGCTTTTTGCTTCTCGGGTGGGAGTGCGAATGAAAGTTTGGCACAGCAGACTGGGAAATCAGAGAAATTAGGGAAATTAAGGAAATTAGGGAAATTATGCTTCCTCCTTTCCTCTGCCAGCTCCTGGGTTGATCTGCCATGCACACTGAGCTCGGTGTGCCTCTGCTCCCATCACTATGGCCAGACTTGCTCCATCCCAAACAACGCAGAGGCACAAACACAGCATCTTTTTCCCCAGCCTTTTTCCTAAAAAAAATACCACCTACGAGCGTCTTCCAAGCTCTCAGCTCTCCTGGGCCTCCAGAGCCAGCAGGCTGCGTCACAAAGAGCCCGAAGAAGCAAAGATTACCTCCGAGAGTCCTGTCTCTAGCCAACTGGGCATCCGAAGGATGGGGGATCTCATCAGGAAGGGGATGAAGCTGGGGGAAACAGGGAGCAGCTCCGACTCCGGCAGGTGCTCCCCGAAAATCTGGTCAAAGATACGACTCGGTGCCAACCAAGAGAAGAAAGGTCTGCGGATCAGGGGGTTGTGGATGGTGATATCCATTGGAGAGCGCTGGAGGAGCCTGGCAAACAACTGTGCTGCAGTGGCGTGCCGGGAGCGGGGACAGCTTTATACCCGTGCAGCTGGCCTGGCCTTCCACCCCCCCGAGGCCTCTTGAACAGTGGTGTCAGGGATTTTATTGTCCCACTCCTGGGCTGGGCCCTTCGGCGGTGCCCAGTAGCTGTCTGAGGGATTTGAGTGCTCTGCTGAGGAGGAGGGGGAAGGGGAGAGAGGAAGAAGAGGAGCCCAATGGGGCAGCAAGAAGCCGGAGTGCCCCGCGCCCGCCCCGCTGCCCACGTGCTGTTTATCCACAGTCCCCGGCGGGCTTGGCCCGTGTTCCCAGCTGCTCTGGATGCCAGTGGGATCAATGCAGCTCCTATCTTTGGCTCAGGGACCGGGACAAGGGGCCGTTGTTCCTGGGAGCTCGGCTCCAGCATCGCCCACCAGGGCTGCGCCTGTCCCAGCAGCAAAGGGAGCCCCAAAACCAGGGGTGGGGAAGGTGCCAGCAGGGCTTGGCTGGGATGGCCCTGGCAGTGCAGCTCTGAAGCCCAGAGAGCCCTTGTAGCGTGTGTGAGTGAAGGATGGATCTCTCCACCAACACCTCTGGTGTTTTGCCCACTGCAGAGCACATTTTTATGGATGGGGAGACCCCCACACTGAGAGAACCTGGGCACGGTCGCAGCCTCCACGGTGCTGCACTGCACCCAGGGGTGCAGAACAGCTCTGTCTGCCTCTGCCCCTGCACGAACCTGCTTTTCTGCAGCTCTCCTCCTAATAATCCATGCATTTATTTTAATTCCTGCCTCGCCCATGAACCCAAATCACAGGAATGGGTTCAGCCCAGCAACTGTTGAAGGGCAAGAGCTTCTCTGCCTGTGAGAGCTCGCAATTTAAACACAATTTCTGGCTCAGAGGCACTGCCAGTTCTGCCAGCCCTTTGCAAAAGGCTCTGAGCCTCTTCCTCTCGGCTTGCCTGCAAGAATAGGGAGGCAGGATTTGCTCTGTGCAGCAGCCCAGGCCATAAATACCCTCTCCAAGTCCCCATTACATCAACAGCACTGCACCTGCTCTCCTGCACCGCAGGGCTCAAGGAAATCTCTGGTTTCAGGGTATGCAGAGCTCAGCTGGGCACTCCTCCCCTGCTGCAGCACCAGCAGCCCAGCAGCCCTGCTCAGTAAAACTGGATTTATGCCAGGTTCAGAGCCTGGGTGGACTGGCCATGTCTGGCACCAGCATTTCTCCATGACATTGTGCCAAAGCCCTGGCCAAGGGAAGAGCCTGGGCAGCCAGCACGCTTCAGGATGGGGAGGTGACAGCAGTGGCATCTGCATCCCTGCTTCACTCCCTGCAGCCCTTCACCACTGAAGGAACAGAAGACTTGAGCTCAGCTTCTGGGAAAATCAGGCTCCTCACACAGGGGTTTGAGCCCCAAGCTCCCTGTGGGGCAATAGGTGTGGGCAGTGGCTTCATTACACGGCCTGAACAAGCACCAGCCATCCAATTCCACCAATTCCAGCATCAGGGACTCCCCAAGGCTGCTCCAGTGAGCTTCTCACTGGCCTTGCTTTGAGCAAACCTGGGTTCCGCCCTGCTCCCCTCAGCCCCTGGGCTGTGCTGGGCTGCCCATGCACCCCCTGCTCCAGAAGGGACCCTCAGAGGCCGGGGGGATGTGCAGGGTGTCCCCGAGGTGTCCCTGGGCAGTGCCTGCCCTCCCTGCTGGAATGCAGCGAGAAGCTTCCCTGGCCGCCCCGGGCCGGCGTCCTGGGGCCTGTGCGCGGGGCTATTTTGGTCCATCTTTTTTATCACACACTCCTCCCTTTGGAATCCACCCAGCTGAAGCCTGGCAGCCTGCAGCCTTCACTCGGAGAGGCAGCAAGGGCTGGGAAGGAAGGAAGGAAAGAAGGAAGGAAAGAAAGAAGGAAGGAAAGAAGGAAGGAAGGAAGGTGCCCGTTCTGGACACGCCATGGCCGCCCGCACTGTCCCCCACGCCTACCCCATGAGCTCCGAGTATGAGTTCGCCAACCCCAGCAAGATCTACGACCAGAACTTTGGAGAAGGTAAGGAAGGAGGTGGGATCCCACCCTTTTTGCACCTTTCTCCCCTCTCCTGCAGGAGGGAGGGCTGCTGGGATTCCCTCCGGGGAGCTTGAGCTCCAGAGGAGGAAGCTGGAGCTGAGCGATTTTGAGTGAAGAAACCTAGATCAAATCAGGGGGGAACAGCCAGGGAATAGCCAGGGAATGGCCAGGGAAAAACCAGGGAAAAAAACAGGGAATTGCCAGGGAATAACCAGGGAATAGCCAGGGAACAGCCAGGGAGATCTCTCTCTTCATGTCCACTTCTCCATCCATGCCCACTGCTGCCTGTCCCGCCCTCCCTCATGCCAGCCATGCTCTGGCATTCATGCACATGCTGTGAAAACATGGAGCAAAATCGCTCTGGGGAGGGGGGGAAGCTTTTCCAGCCCGGGGGATGTGGAGAAAAGCTGAGCTGGGGAGTTCAGCACAAAGCTGGGCAGTGGCTGTTGGAGGGGAAGGAATGTGGGCAGCAGCAGAACCATTCAGCACCAGCACAACAGCGTGAAAAGGCAAAAAGCTCCAAGGAAAGCCCTCTGGACAATGGCACACAAAAGGCCTTTAGTTCTTCAGGGCGGTTTCTTCACCATCAGCAGTTTCCATGCCCATCCCTGGCTGTGGTGCTGCCGAGCTCCCCGTGCACCCACCGGGCCCTCTCAACATGTCAAGCTGGATGCCAGCCCTTGCTGGCAGCTCTGGGCAGCTCAGGGGCACGCAGGGGCTGGCAGGGATGTGGCTCTGGGTGTGTTTTAGGGGCACAAAGGTGGGAACCGCAGCAGACTCCACCCCTGTCGCGGGCATGTGGCAAAGCCAAGGTGTTCTCCGGGTCCCAAACTCCTCCAGCCCCATTCCCTGGAAACTCCTCACTGAGTCTCCTTCCCAGGTGTGTCCCCATCGGAGATTTTGGCCCCTGCCCTGTACCACGGCTACTACATCCGGCCCCGTATCAACAAGCAGCTGGAGAGGGGCACCTCGGAGATCTGCCTGAACGAGCACAAGTTCCAGGTGTTCCTGGACGTCTGCCAGTTCCTGCCCGACGAGCTCAGCGTCCGCACCGTGGACAACCTGCTGGAGGTGGTGGGGCAGCACCCGCAGAAGGCTGACCGCCACGGCTTCATCTCCAGGGAGTTCACCAGGACCTACATCCTGCCCCTGGACGTGGATCCCTTGCTGGTCAGGGCCACCCTGTCCCACGATGGCATCCTGAGCATTGTGGCTCCCCGGACAGGCAAGGAGGTGAAGGCCAGAGTCAACGAGGTGAAGATAACCCAGCAGGAGCAGCCAGTGGAAAAAGAGGAGCAGGCTGAGGAAGGAAAAGCGAAGGAAAAATCCTAAAGGCTGCAGATCTGGGAAGGTGTGGGGGACAGGGATGGGGAATGCGAAATGCCAGACCCCTGTTCCTCACCCTCAGTGTTCAGCAGCGCCCTGAGGCAGCCACACTTCTGCTTCTCGAGGCTGATGGCTGGGAAAAAACAGGACTTGGAACTGGAAAAAAGAGTGGGACTGAAGTGTGAGTGTGAGTGACTGTAATGCAAGTTTTCTCCTAGGTCAGGTCACCATGCAGGGAGCTCTGCTCTCACCCCAGGGTCATTCCTACCCTTAACTGTGAGGCTGTGTCTCAAGGGACTGTGCTTTAGCCCAGAAGGGCACTGGGAAGAGAGAAAAGGGGATCCCAGTGCCTGGCTTCTGAGCTGGTGGCTGAGTTTCGTGGCTGTAGAAGGTGGGTGTTGGTCTGTGAAAGTGCCTGCAGCAATCAGGAGAGAGGAATAAATCTGCCTCTGCTCTTCTCTTGTTTGCCTTGGATTCGTGTTGCTCCTGTGCAGCAGGAAGGATGGACAGTGCCCAGCTGGGACTGAGCTCACCTGTGCAAGTGGCACCAGCGGGGACATGGAGGGACTGTGGCCACCTCTGTGCCTCACCCCCCTGGCCCAGCTGCTGATTTAGGGAGCCCAGAGTGAAGTGACCTCAAGGACCAGAAGGTGAGGAGTGAGGAGCCCTTGGAAGGTCCCTGAGCATCTCCAGACCTGCAGCTGGAATGAGCCCAAGTTCATGGGGCACAAATTAATGCCCAGCCACAGCCTGTGCCTGCTCAGCCCTGTGGTTACGGGACAGCCTTCACACACAGACCTCTGGGAGGGGACTGAACCCCAAAGTACTGAAGGGAAAGGCTCTGCTCAGACCACAATTGCCTGTCTGTGAGGGCAGGGAGGGGCTGAATTTGGCCGCTTTTGCAGACCCTGTGCTGCTACATGAGCAATGTCCCCGCGGTCTCATGATGGGGACAGGGATCGTGTGTGCTGCTGGCGCTGGCAGCTGCTGCCCCGGCGGCCCCAGGGCTCAGCAGGTGACAGTTGCCACCCTTGTGTCATCAGGGCCAAGCCAGGCACACAAAATGCTGTGTCAGTGGCTAAATTTGGGGGTGCCTGGCATGCCTGGGTGCAGCTCTCCCAACAGAGGGGAGGGGAGGCTCCAAAATCTTCGGGGATGTCATTTCCCCCAATCCCTGTGGCTCTGCTTCCACCCCACTCTGGGGCCAGGAATGCCCCGCTCAGGAGCCTGCCCAGCACATCCCCCTGGGAGCTGGAACATGGATGTGAGGCTGATTTCTGTCCCCTGCCAGGCAAGTGGGATTCAGAGCAGAGCAGAGTGCTGCCCAGCTATTTTCAGCTCTTTTCTGCTTCCCAGGGCCCTGGCAGTGCTGAGGATCAGTCAGATGAGGAGCAGCCCTGCCTGCCAGGCACAGGGAGGGTGGCTGAGCCCAGTGCAGAGCCGGTACCTCAGTCTGACCTCCTGCCCTGACTCCTGAAGTAGAACCTGAGAAACTGCCAGAATAAAAGATCACCATTGCAACAGGCACTGTCTAAGTGATTCATAATAATTCCAGGCATAATTCTGAGCTAGGGATTTTTAATCACGTGCATCCCATTCACCCAACACCCCCCAGACCTCAGATCTCAGGAGGGATGAGCTCCTGAGCCCTGTGCTGAGGGCAGAGCACCCTGGGTGTGTGGGCTCAGGCATGGCCAGCCTTTATTATTCTTATAATTCTCTTATGAAAGGCTTCTCCAGACTCACAGACACTTTGTGGCAGCGGCTTCAAAAGGCTGCTCTTTGTCCCAAGCAAGAAATGTCCCTTTGCTTGCTGCAGGTTTCCTGTGATTGGGATGAAGTCTCAGGCACACACACAGAGCCAGGGACACAGAGCCAGGGACACAGAGCCAGGGACACAGAGCCAGGGACACACAGCCAGGGACACACAGCCAGGGACACACAGCCAGGCACACATGGCAAGGCTGGGCCATCAGATGCCATCTGTCCCTGCTCAGCAGCCCGGTGAAGCACTGGGGACCAAAACCAGCACACAACCAGGGCTGGGGCTGCCCTGGGAGAGGATTCTGAGACAGAAGGAGTGCCCAGAACAGTGCAGAGCTCTTCTCTTCTTCACTTTTGATAGACAGTGCCAGCTCGGTGTGTGCCTGTACCACATTTGTCGCGGTGCCTGAGGGACCTGGGCACTCTTGCCATAAAAACACCCAGAATTAGGAGTGACTACACAATTCTGCGCCCTCCCCGGCTCTTCCTGGCCGTGTTCTTGCTCTCCCTCGTGTTCATTCTCTGTGCGGGTGTCACAGCTCTGTTAACAGCGCTGCGGGAGGGGCTGGCAGTGCCCGGGGGTGGGCAGGGCTGTCCCTGCACTGTCCCCGCATTGTCCCCGCACTGTCCCCACCCTGCAGCATCCCCGGGAGCCGTGCCTGCTCCCATCCCCGCAGACACAGCCTGGGGAGGGAATGCGGGGTGGCAGCCAAGCGCTCCCCGGCCCTGCCAATGTTTTTGGTGCTTTTCTGTTTCTCTGGTGGAGCTCGAAGCGGCAGCTCCAGTAGTTGTGAAAGAGGCTGATGGGAACAGGCTCCCAAACTTTTTTTTCCCCCCTCCTTCCCCACAAAGCAACAAAGCCCGAGTTATCCCAGAAATCAAAACAGACGCTGGTTCATTAAAACAACAGTGTCTGTGGCAAGCCCAGAGACACAGAGTCTGCAGCTTCCCAGGCAGGGACAGGCTCCTGGGAACACCTGCACCCTGCAGGACCCTGAGAACACGGGACCAGCACTGAATCCCGGCTGTCTGCACAAATCTCATCCATCTCAGCCCAAGCTGAGGAGCAGAGTCAGAGCAAGGCTCAGGCTCTGCAGGTCACACTGCAGCTCACCCAGAGCTGGCTGTGACCCTTCCAAAGCAGAATCCTTCTCCTTCTGCCACTCCTGGACAGGTCCAAGCTTTGCTGTGCCCTTGGGGAGGTGATGAATGGGGCTGGGAACCTGGCTGGGAGCGTGGGTACACCTGGAGTAGGAACCAGGGCCAGCTCCTGGCACAGAAAAGTGAATTAATGCTCACCCCCTTGTTGGACACCCCTCGAGGGATCAGACCTGCACAGAACTGGGTCAGACCCGTGGGGCAGTGTTACTGCTCAAGAATGACAATAAAAATTATATCTTTCAGAAGGATCTGTTCTCTTAGACCTGCCTGAGATCCCAGGAATCGCCTGATCCTTAGGTCCAGGAATGACCAGGGCTCTGGTCATTCAGGCTGGACAGTCTGAAGGGCTCTCACCAGGGGCAGAGAGGTGAAATGCACATCCCTGTTCCCATCTGACCCGCTGGGGCTGAGCCTGAGAGCTGCACTGCAGCTCCTTAAGGCTCTGAGGGCTCTCCTGGGACCCTGCGGCTCTCAAAGGCACGGAACTGAACACTTTTATCCAGGTAGCTTTGAAAAAAGCGCATTTCCAGTGTCCCTGAGGCTGCGGGGGAGAGCTGCAGGAAATCCGCTCGTTCCCGGCTGCTGCCGCACACGCCACGCGTTCTGCTGGAGGTGCGAGGATGGAGCAGCACCGAGCTCCCACCCTGGGGCTTCTCCTTTTGTCTGAAATCCCTCCTCCGACCCATTTTGCGGGCCGGACGCAGGGACAGCGGTGGGACGGCTGTTTGGGACAACAAAGCCGAGTTTTAGCCGCAGGGTGACACGGCGACAGCTCGCCCTGTGGTGCCGGCAGCGGGGCCAGCCCCGGTAGATGGCACACGGGGCCAGCGCTCCGAAACCCGACACTGGCGGCAGACACTCCCTGCAGCCGGAGCAGGAACCAGGAAATACAAGCCCAGCCTGTCCAGAGAGCGCTCGGGCTCGGCGGGGGAAGGAGCGACATGGGCAACCTGTGCGGCTGCGGCCGGCGCTGGTGAG